TAGACTTCAGCAAATGTGTAGCCATATTCTTATACTGCTGGTGCCTATTATTGCAGTTACTGTAGAGATACTGGAAAACGTGCTGAGATATTCATGTTCAGGTGTTTCCTCTCAAGGTTCATGTTTATAAAGAGTCAAAGGAAACTCTTGGCATGAGAAAGATCCAGTGAAGAGTGGCATACATTTTCAGAATCACAGTGTGTTTTGAGAAAAGACCTGAATGCTAAATTACAGCAACAAGTGTAGCAGGTGCCTAACCTGAATGTAGAGCCATCTTGAGCTTGCTAATTAATATGCATTAGACCAAAAGTTCCATGGATGAGGGTAAGGTGCCGCAGTGATCATGCTTATAGTGCCCTCAAGCCTCTACTTTAAAAGGAACAGTTTATTCCTTCCTCAGAAATGCCCCTCAACAAGAGCCAAGTTGGATTTTTTTAATCCAGAACTAAATTATGTGAGTTGGGTGGGAGAAGGAAGATGCAAGTTTTGCTTTCTTTCACAAAACCAATGAAGCCTTTATCCCAGTGCACATGGTAGATGACATAAAAACATGTATATATAAAAATCTTCTGAGATGAACATTTTCTACACAAATCTAAGAGCACTATTAAAGTGACTGTTAAAATGACCTGCATTCACACAAGTTGCTCTGCCTTAAGAACTATACTACACAAGCCAAAGAATAAATAGAAGCCAGGAAAACACTTCTTCCAAACCACCTAAGAAAGGAGTCTGGATGTTCAGTCTTTAAGAAAAACAGTTTTCTTCCATTTACATCACATAAAAACGAATAACTACTTTTAAACATGTATTAAATGTTTGCAAGTCCCCAGTGTTTTATTATTTGTCTTACCAGACTTGCCCCTAGTTGCATTTCTATTTAAGTGATTAAGAGATAGTAAGGCAACCCAGGTGTTTGTTTGGGGGAGCAGGAAGGTGGGACTACAGTCATGGTGAAATGGAAGAAAGGACAGGGTGAATTTACAAACTTGGCCCAATTTCCTGATCTTGTATGGCAGCTGAATGCTAGGGATGCAGATGTAAACTTTAAAAATATTAAAATATGTTAAAATATATCTACTTTCAAGGAGCTGGCAAGAGTCAACAATAACTACAATATTGAATTATAGTTCAATATAGGACTTTGGGGTTTTTTTTAAAACTATTTTATTATAGAGATGTGGAGTACAGGTGAGGATTAATTGCATAAGTAGGCTGTATGCAGGTGAGGTTTGGGTTTCCAACTGGCTCAACCTTCCCCTGGTGGTGGACCTGGTATCCTTTGTGTTGTCACATGCCCCCCCCTCCCCCAACCCCTACAGTGCCCAGCAACTGTCAATCTCTCCCTTGTGTTCATGTGACTTTTTCAGGGCCCACTTAAGAGTGAGAACATGTGATATTCAGTGCTTTGTTTCTGTGATAGATCACTAAGTAAGATGGTCTCCAACTCCACCAATTTGCTGCAGAGTCCATGATTTTGTCCTTCTTTAGGGCTGCATAATACTCACATTGTGTATACATACACTTTCTTAACCCAGTCCATTTTCAATGGGCAGTAGGATTGGTCCCATGTTTCTGCTATTGTTAATTAGTAAACACACGTGTGTGGGTGTCTTGGTAGAATGCTTTATGTCTCTGAGTATATTTCCAGGAGAGGGATTGTTGGACCATATGGAAGGTCAATTAATCACTCCAATGGAGTGTTTTGATAGAAGAAAGCAGAGGGTGTTATGTGAGAAGACATGAAAATCAGAGTGTCTTGAACAGTGGGGAACTGGACATCACCCCTAAACTGAGTCCAGAAAGAAAAAGAGGGATTAGCCTTGGTGAAAATGGGAGAAAGGAAGGAGGGCATTTCTGGGCCAGGAAAGGGGCTGCAGAAGTGTTATGACATGAATTCGTATGAAATAATGAGACATGTAGGAGCCCTAAGGTATGATAAATATGAAAAGTAACCAGGAAGGTAGTGGAAGAAGAAGTTGAGAGAACAGAGAGGGGTTGTACAATGCCTTATGCCCTGAGCTTAAAAGTTTAACCACTATCCTGTAAACATGGAGAGCCTTTGAATTTAATCTAATTAACCAGGTAAATAGAGTGATTCGTCTTTTAGCAGCATCACTTCCATTCTGGAAGGCAGTAAGACAATTTACCAAAGTTCTTTAAGATGTACATATTGTTTGTAACTCATTGTCTTCCTTTTCTGTGAAGTAAAATATGGACTAAAAAAAAATGTATACAAGTCTTTTTTCCCCATCCTCTAGTAGAAAGGAACACAAAGTGCCTTGTATAGAAAGGAGGTTCTGAAATATTTTTTTTTCTTCCGATACCAGCCCACCAAAGAAAACCTTTTTATCTGATTAGTCAAGCTAAGACCAAGTCCTAAAGTTTCTCGTGTTATTCATTGTATAGAAGGAAGAGTGCCTTGTCAAGTTGTTTCTCTACAGAGCCCGTCTTTACTCACCTAAAATGTGGTCTTTAACCTAACTCTATTATATGGACCTCAAGGTTGGATAAGTACTTGAAGGCATAACACATGGTTAGCATAGAAAATAGAGTTGTGTAAAAAGTGCCTAATAAATGAAAACTTCAAGCGAGTGTTCTAGATTTTTCTCCCTTCCTCTTTCCAACCTAAACCTCAGTCCTTATCGTTCATATGTTATAAATGCTCAACTATGATGGGGTTCAGGGCCCCTTACCCCCAAATATGACACCTCGGTGTTTGAGGAAACCAGAGAAGCAGGACAGTCACTCTCACCTTCCTCTTGCCCTCCTCCCTTGAAGCAGGCCATAAGACCCTCATTCAAGATGAGCACTCCCTATATCTGAAGAAAGGAACACAGAAAAGAATCTGAACAAACAGACCTTGCTAAGTTGCCCCTCTCTTGATCATCATTAGCTCAGACCCCTTTTGTTCAATCATACTTATTCATGACTCTTCAAACCTAAGCATAAAAATACACAAGCTTCTCTCTCTTTGCGTCTTTATTTCTGAATACTCCTACATAAAACTTGAATACGTTTGTATGCCTTCCTCTTGTTAAATCGCCTTTTGGTACAAGGGACTCAACCATTAACCCAGCGATGGCAAACAAATATATTTATCATTCCATGCAACTATATACAAAGTGGTTAAATAAGTTGTATAATTATGTAACTGTTTATATAAGCATTTATACAAACATATAAACATTTCCTTGTGTACCTAACATACGCACGGTGCATAAAATTCTAAGGCGGTATGCAAAGATTTAGGCTGTGGCTGCATATGCCAATTGTTTTGTGACTGATACAATCTGAGAAGTATGAGACCTATAATGTAAAGACGAGGACAAGTTTGAGAGAGATCATTGAACAAAGCAGAACCCACAGAAGTTGGACAATGATGGGAGTAGTGGAGAATAAGTGAGGAAAGAGACGAGTCTAAGGGAACAGGCAGACGATTGTGCCATGCCTCCAGGAAATACAGCAAACAAATGGGTTTGGAATGAGGACAAGCTGAAGAGGTTTTCTTGGGACAGTTGAGTCTGAGATGCCTGGGGACCTCTAGACGAAGATGTTTAATACCTAACAGGATACAGGTCAGGAACCTTGAAAACTGCTTCCCTGCCTAGAAAAGAAGGAAAATTCATGTGATGCCAGTTAAGCAGTGGTATCATAAACATTAAAATCTGTAACGAATGCAATGTACTTGTGTCCTTTCACTGAATCAAAATGTGTTCTTGCTAATCATCATATTTTCATTTTCATAATGTCTTAATCATCAAAGTCAGGTGAAGAACAAAGGTTAGAATGACCTGGCTCTGCATTTTCGTAGCTCAAGTTCTTTGTATATACCTGAGTTTGACCTTAGAAAATATTAACATGTCATTCATTTAGCACATAGAACAAGAACAGTTTAAGTTTGGTTTGGAAATAAGTGAAGTTAAGGCAGAATGTTTCTTCTCTCATGCCAGCTTGCTTTCTTCTTCTTCTTTTTTTTTTTTTGAGTTTGAGCTTGAGTTTGAGTTTGGGTCTCACTCAGGTGCCCAGGCTGGAGTGCAGTGGTATGCTCCCAGCCACCGCAGCCCCGACCTGCTGGGCTCAGGCTATCCTTCCGCCTCAGCCTTCCAAGTAGCTGGAACTACAGGCATGCGCTACCACGCCCAGCTAATTTTTTGATTTATTGTAGAGACAGGTCTCACCATGTTGCTCAGGCTGATCTCAAAACCGCGGGCTCAGGAAATCCTCTCGCCTCAGCCTCCCAAAGTGCTGGGATTATAGGCTTGAGCCACTGCGCCCGGCCTCACCCCAGCTTTTAAACTGAAGAAATGGCCTCCAATGGAGAGTCTAGAGAAGATCCATCTTGCTTTATGGATCAAGGATGACCCACTGAAAATTTCTGCTGTGGATTAGTTTAATAATCCAAACATTTCTTCAGGTTCAACTATTGACAACTCTGTCCACTCTTCATGTTTGGAACTGTAGATTTCAAATGGCCTGATATATCTATGCTTATATGAAGTCATACAGACATGTATATGACATCATAATTGTGGCCAGCTCATGGAGAAGTAGGCAGAACAGAGGAGGATGAGTCTACAATGCAGGCATACAAAGCAGGGAACTACCTTGAGTTACTCTATTCAAGCTCAAGTTTCAGAGTTCCCAAATTTTGCAAGAAGGCAGTGATAAAGACCACAATCCAGGGACCATTTCTCAAACTATCAAGAACTCGGCAGGTGAGAGCATGGGACCTCATTACTTTCCAGACAGTTTGTCATGAAGGCTCAGGAATTCAACCACTTCTAACCCAAGAGGAGGGTCTGATAACCACAAGAAAACAAAACCAAAAACATATTCATCAAAAAAGCATAAAATACTTCATCCTTTTAGAGAATTGTTTTTATAAATATGCCCTTAATTTAACCTAGTCAATGGAAAATTTTCAAGTGTGTATGTGTCTGTATGAACATTGTGTATTTTCAACTTTTTGGAACTAATCCAGGTACTTCAAATGAGACTCCTGTCAGCATTTCCCTTTAAAGGATGTCCTGCAGAGAATTAGTTACTCATAATTTTAAGTAAAAATTGACAAGGAGTGCTTTTTCAGCCCAGTAGGAGTCAGCTATGTGCATGTCACGAGACTTAGAGGAAACGCAGAGATCCTCCTATTTTCTTCTACAAAGTTGAAAAGGCTGCAGTTGGAAGAGACCCTCAGAGATTGCTGGTGGCCTGTTCTGATCCTTTGGAGTTGACACACGTATGTACTGGAAGAAAAATAATCATTATATTTTCTTCTTTCATGCTGTTTAAATCACAGGAAGAAGCATCTTTAAGTGAGTTCTTTCCCTAATGTCTCTGTTGTGTTTTGTTTATGTGGTATGTTTGTCTCTAGTTTGTTTTAAGGACAAGAAATTTTTATAAACTTTTCAGTAGCTACTTAAGAGAAATATTTTTCTTGGCAAAAGTACATACTGTACCTTGAAGTTTCTTACCCATTTGAGCCAATGGTTATCAAATTTCATTTACTGAGTTGTCAGACTTCTCATTCTGATGGCATGTATATGCAGGCGGTAGCATGGCCAGGTAACTCTTGGAACGGTCTCCCAAGTTTTTCTAATGTTTTTAATACATGGGATTTAGCTTCATCATTGTAAAAGGGGGAGAAGAGGAGGGATTCTGGGATTTTACTTGCTTAATTTATTTGAATGACTAACATTATCACTGAGGATATTTTATGACTGGATTTCTATTTCCAGAGCACATTTTGAAGTCACAGCTTTTAAGTGAAAGGAGTTAATGAGATTCCTGCTATTTTCAAAAAAAAAAAAAAATCTGCCTACTTTCCAGAAGCAGGCATACAACAATTCATAGTCTTAGGTTTCCTAAGATTGAATTAAAATATCTGTGTTTCCAGACCACATAGATATATAATATAATACATTTACCTGAAGCGGTACTTCTTGAGACCGAGATGTCATTCTTTGGGTACAAAGCATATACCTCATATGTGTTCGGCTTTCTCTCCCACTGTTTTAGTCATACCCTCTTTGGTGTCTGTCATCCTTTTGAAAACCAAATGCAGTTCCTCAGTTGTCAATTCAGACGTTAGAAATGTGGGAACTAAAGAGTATTAGTGAAATGTGTAACTCTTCTATGTAAGATGTGTTCTCACTCACAAGTGAGAATAATTATCATAATATTATTAAAAAAAGGATTGTCAGTAGCGGGAAATTGCCCGGGCGGGGGTGATTGGCAGTAGTGGGATTCTGCCAGGGGAGGGGGACACACCTCATCAACAAAGGTACCTGCATAATGAACATTTGTATACTCAACCCTGAATTGTACCCCACATCTTTAAAATTAAAACTTAAAAATCAATAAAGATGTAAGAAAGTCCTTGAGTCATGTTAGTGTTGTTTCACATTCACAGTACTGCTGTGTATAAATTCTAACATTTTTATTACCAAAGCATATGGACTAAGATGTCACACAAATATTGAAAACATATTATCACATAAAATATTTTTGACACATATGTTAGGATAGTGCTTTAAGCCATAATCCAAAATGATTTAGGGGAAAGGTAGATTCTGAGTCTGTTTTCTACATTTGTTCTGTTCATTCCCACATTATCATTATCAGAATTAGTTGCCAATTCTGAAACAGTTCTATCTAAACAAGAGTAGCAGATTCATGTTTTAATGTAACATTTCCTCACTGACAAGTTTGCCTCTTATTTTTATTGTACTTGCCAACAACTTTTTGAGTAAAGCTGAATTAATTTGGGTTTCTTAGGTAAGCCTAGAAACTTTTCAACTCTAATATTAAAAACAACAAGTGTTTAGGGTATTTTAGAGAAGGTTTGATTTGTTTTTGGTTTTACTTTCATGTTTTCAATCTAGGAAATATGATCTCTTTGGAATTGAAAACCAAATACTGTACTTGGGTTCACATGGGAAGCTTTGAATCAGATGTCAGTTAAATAAGCTTGCACTTCCATGTTCTTGTAATTGTATTTTTCCTCTCTGATTGTCATCATTTTTCTTGGTTGCTTTTTGTTACCCTGAAAACTTATTGAAGAGGAGGAGGAAGAGAAAGGTGAGGAGGAGAAGAACTCCTTCCCATAAAAGCACCTCAAATTCCCACAAAATCTTCGGCTTGAACATTTATCTATCTGTACATCGGAGTGCTTTGAGATCACAGATCTCCTTACGAATCTAATAAAATCAATAGCCCTTCCAAGAAAAAAAAAAAAAAAAACATCTAAAGACAAGGGGTGGGATGTCAAAGATAAGCCAGTTAAAATTTTTGACATAGAATCTTGCCTGGGACTCCTTCCAAAATGTCCAAGTGAATGATATGATTTCCCTGCCCCGTCACTTTGGCCCTGGATGAACAGTCCCACTTGCTGTCCCACCATCACCTCGAACCTCATCATTTTCCTCTCCTGCTTCCCACCCTACTTCTGCCAGCTATACTCTCCTGCATTAAAGGACACCATGATCCCACTGGTTGTTCAAGCCAGAAACTGGGAATTGACTGCCTCCTCTCTCTCTCTCAATTCACATACTCAAAGAATCTCCAGGTTCTGTCCATGCCACCTTTTAAATTCGCCTGCTTCCTTCCGTTGTCAATGCAGCTGCCCTATTTCACACGGCGAACTTCTCTCACACGGTTAACAAGGACCCTTTAACTGGTCTCCCTGCGTCTAAGAATTGCACTCTCCCACTCTACTCTCCGTAATGAGGCCAGAGTGACCGAACTCAAACAGTTGATGGAATAACTGTTTGATTTTGCCAATCTCTTACTGCAAACTTTTCCCTGACCCTCCTCTCACGTTAGGATAATGTCCAGATTCCTTCTCAGGGAATTTCTTCTCAGAGAAGCAGTAGAGTATAGTGGATTACGGCAAATCACTTCAGACTGAAAGATATTCAGAACCACCTCTGGGTTTTTGTTAAAATACTGATTCTGGTTCCGTAGGTCTGGGTGGTGGTTGAGATTTTGTGTATCTAACAAGTACCTGGGTGATGCTGATGCTACTGCTCCATGGACCACTCCGAGGAGCAAGGATGTGGAATATCCTTTCTTGTGCTGGACCTCAAGCCTCAATTATGCCACTCATTACTTCTGTAACTTAGAGAAGTCACTTAGCCTTTGTGTGTCTTTTTGTCTATAAAATGGGTATTAGTACGGTGTATATATATTTTTTAGATTTGATGGGAGAAATAAATGTGTTGATTTATTGACATTACTTGTAGCAATGCTGGCACAGAGTGTTATTTAAGTGCTAGTTACTATTATGGCAAGTCAAGATCTTGAATAATTTTGCCTCCACATTCTTCACCAAGTCAGTTTTTATTACTGCACTGATGTACAGAGAGAGGGGAGAGAGAGAGAGAGAGAGAGAGAAACAGACAGACAGAGAGATAGAGAGATGGAGACAGAGAGACAGAGACTCTACTACTCAGTCAAGAAGAAAGATCTTCAGCAAATTAAGAACAGTACAAATGCTTCTTTTCTATCAGGTTTTCCTAGGTACTTTTCTCAAAGCACTCTGCATACAGACCTAGTCCACCACCCTCATCTTTCAGGTCTCATCTCAGGTGATACATTCCCTCAGAAGTACTGACACACCACCCTCCACCCAAGTCTATATTTGCTCCCACTTAGGTGTATCCTCTACTAGCAACTTGCTCTATTGGGTACACATTATAATCTCTTTTATTTGTCTGTATCTCCTATAAGACTACATGCTTTATTAGATAAGACTGTACCAGTCACCATTGAATTTCTAGCATCCTACACATTTCTTCCTTTGTAGGTGGCAGGTGATCAGTAAAGAATGATTGCATTTCATAGACACATTTCCAAAGAATGAGAATTAGAGACAGGGAACAAAATGCTCTGATCTGGTTTGTGAAAAGAGAAATATCGGTTATATGAGGTTGAGCTTCTCTTTTCTTCTATGTACTTGTTCTAACCTAGATGTACATCGCCATTTTTTCATGCAGCTAGTTCCGGAGTAGTGAAAGAGACTGAAAACAATGTGTGTGGCACAGCAACGGCTGTTCCATGAGCTGAACTTTTGTTTCTGTTGTTGTCATTCTAATCAGGGGAATTAGCTTGTCTGTGTGGAAGTTTAGACATATGGTAAGAATACCTTGACTCCAAACCCATAAGAACTTCTCACTACATCACATAAGATACTGGAATACCTCAAGAACTTTTAAATTCATTAAACAAATAAATAAAGCTAGAGAGTCAATGTGAGAGCAATAGTGTGACATCAAAAAGAGAGTCCAGGTTTTGAAGTGTGGTCCATGCTGAGTCCTCTATAAAAGTGGGCAGGCTAGTTTGCCTCCCTACCTTAAAGCAATACCATCTTGTAGCTTTTTTAGATGAGTAAGAGTAACAGTAGTTTTTTTTTTTTTTTTTT